CCAACATGGTCTCTGCCTACATATCTGTCCCCAGGGAGTTCAACTTGATAGTAAAGAATAGGAGGTGAAGTCCATAGTGAATTATGGCAAATGCTCTAAAAGAGATTTTTGTTTTTCAAACTACAGATAGTAGCACAATAGTGGATTCTGAAGTCAATTTAGTGGTCATGACCAGCATTTGTATGTAAAATAAATAGAATTCATTAGAATAGAATAGGAAGAAAAATATTATAACTGTGGTCAAGATAAATTTTGCTTTGTGAAAGTGGATTCAGTAATGTGAGGGATGTATGTTGTGTGTGTGTGTGTGTGAGTGTGTGTGTGTGTACTGGATTGTGATATGAAATGGATGTGTGCTGTGGTTCAAGGGCAATAGAATGTGAAGGCCTATTTCCCAAGGATAGGAAGACATAGAGGAAGTGTTTAGAAAAAAAGAATAGATCCTTAATATCTTGGGTATTGAGGAAGCCTCCAGGAGGAGGTGGCATTTGAGCTGAGGTTAAAAAAATAGATAGGAGTTCACCAGTGAGCAGAGGGTGTTTCTAGGGGTCGCTCAGCAGAGAGCTGGGTGTGCGCCCTGCCTGCTAGTGCAAATGTCAACGGCCATGAAGACTGGTGGAGATGGGTCAGTAAAGTTAGGCTGATGCCCAAGTGTCCAGGGCCTTGAATATCACACCAAGAAAGTTGGACTTTATTCCTTGCAGCAATAAAAATCTGCTGATGGCTTTTAAGCAGAAATCAACATGACCACCTGGCAGGGTAAAGGATGGAGAGAGTCGAGGGAGCAAGAGAAAAGACAGGAGGGCAAGATACAGGCTGTTTGCCAATCCAGGCAAGCGAGTGAGATGACTGAAGAGAGGGTGGAGAGATGGGCAGGAGGGGGCTTGGATTCTGGAAGAAGAAAAAGGAGACAGAATCCATGGAACTGGGTACCATAGGGGCACCGAAGTAAGGAGCCGGCAAGGTCTCAATTTGCAGCATCTATCTCTTGACGCCCTCCTGTCCACAAGCCTACCCCATGGCCAGTACCACCACAGGATATTATACTTAGGAAATGAGTACTCTGAGGCCCTGTCCTCAGGGAGCCCCATACTGGTCAGAGAGACCGACTCACACACCTGAACAACTCAGGCCAGGTCGTGAGCAAGGGCTGGAAATGTGGGGCTCATGCTGTCAGAATTGGGGGGCATGGAAGCAAGAGAAAGGGAAGAAGGGAGGAGAGGGAGGGGAGAGAGGCGGGGGAGGGGAGTCTATAAGAGGGAACAATCAAGGAGTCCTTCCTGTAGGAAGGGGTTTAGCACTGAACTTCAGAAAAACTGGATCACATTTATGAACATCCCCAGAAGATAAATATGTCTACCCTTTGAGCCACAGCCATGATCAGGGTCTGTCTCACCTCACATGGGCCTGTTGAGAGAGACTCTAAACCCCCGTCAGGAAAAGATTGTTCTTTTTTCAGAAAGAGCCACCCTCCCAAGATACCATTACGTGGGTCCTTTTAGCTTCATCCCACATCTGTTTTTCAGTGCAGCAATGTCACCGACCCCGTCCGTCGGATTCTCTTAACACTCAACCCCGAGGAAGGAGAAAACTCAAATGGGGAATTCATAGTCAGGGGCAAGGAGCCAGTGTCCTCACGTTGGGGCCAGAATCGGTATCAGACCAGTATTGGCCTGGTTAACTCACATTGGGGCCAGAGCCCTGCCAGAAGCAGCCTCGGACTGACAGGCCCCAGAGGCAGGAAAAGTCCAGTAACAATCCTGAATTTGAAAAATCTACGAGCTCAGAGCACCAAATTAAAAAACAATTACACTAATAGAATCTCCCCAATGTTTCTGCGCTTCAGCACGTGCTCCTTAATAATTCCATTGCTTTTAACTCACTGTCAGCTCAGCGGAAGTGGGTTTTTTAAGTAACTTAATTATTTCAGAACTCACTGCTTCCAAAAACAATCTAAGGTTCCCCCTCTAGCTCTATGACTCTGCTCTGTGCTATTTATTTTAATTAGTATTATATTGTATATCTAACATAAGCCAAAAGAAAAATCTACAAACAACTGTCTATTAGCCAGAGAGCAGAATTCTGCTCAGAAATCACCCAACAACGGATCACTTAGAATTTGTAACCAAGTGGGGGAGGTAAGATTCATACTAATCATGCAATGCCGAGCAGAGGCCACCAAATGGCTGTGGGAGTTCTCAGGCCTGAGGGTTTCCTCCCGGTTAGAGGTTGAGGGTGGGGTTCCTGGAGCGGAGTGGCTTAGCAGCAAGACATGGACAGTCAAGCTAAGACTTACAGAAAGGTAAAGATGAGCATTCTTTGATCTTCGTACATGCTCCTTTGATAAAACCTGCACTCTTGTACATTAGACATTGAGGCTCTGAAATGTCTTTTCACACATCACATTCCAACCTAAGTACAGAGGCTGGTTCTCAAACATTTAGAGGCATCACATGGTGATGTCGCCCAGGCGGCCGTGGTTCAAGGTCAGCAGCACAGTGTCCCTCATTTCTATGTGCTCAGTAGCCTAGGGATTAACATAAAACCTGAACCTTCTTCTCATCTTTGTGTCCTTGGCAGGCAGCCTAATTTCTTTGTGTCTCAGTTTCCTCTGTGTAAATGGGGTAACATCAGTACCTACTTCCTGGGGTCGCCGTGAGGATTGAACGGACAGCGCATATAACACAGCTGGAAGAGGATCTAGTACGGGGTAGACACCTGCTGTATCAGTGGTAGCTATTATTAAAATGGAAGTGCTGATGCCAGGTAGGAAAAGTGTGGATCTCACAAGCATAAAATGATGGAGATAAAGATGGAAATGATTGGGCATGCTGAAATCAGCAGTGAATCTTTACCTACAACCCAGAGCCTACAATTGGGGTTCAGCTTAGAACAAAATTAAAGTGAGCGTATGAACTACTTACTAGTCAAAGATTGTTTTGGAAATGGGTTTTTTCTTGCCTTTCAGCTACCGTGTGTGATAACGCTTTTGTGCCGTTTTCATACAAGCGACTTTCACGTGAACTTTCAGATACGTGTTGTGCTTCCTGACCTAGGGAAGCCGAGAAGTATGGGCCTTACCCCGAGGGGGGCGGGCCAGGGAGCCGGGGTGATCTCGAGTTGGGGAGCGACCTGCCTCCTGGTGGCTGCCATCTTTTGTAGGAAGCGCCTACCGTGAGTGCTTGGAGAACGGCACGTGGGCCTCCCGGATCAACTACTCACAGTGCGTGCCCATTCTGGATGACAAGGTGAGCAGCCCGGTCCCTGTCAGGGATCGGGGCTCAGGCCAAGCGCAGAGCCTCAGGGTGGCAGCACCCGTCCTGTGCCTCCCAACCACTCTATTTTGCACCTCTTGCCCCTGCCCCATGGCCTGCCCTGTGCCCAGTGACACTGTAGTGGAGCAGAGAAGGGGGACCTGGAACCTCAACTTCAGGAGAGCTTGGGCTGGTGGAAAAGCGCAACCAAGGTGACACTGGACACAAGAAGGGGGTGACTGTGTAACCGGTGCCCTGGCATCTCACAGGCTGTGTGCATTCCTTCCTCTTCTGGGCCTGTTTCCCCAGCTGAGCAGAGGCAGCCACAGTGGGGTGGCGGTACGGTCTGCCTTGGCAGGAGGGAGTGCTTTATGATGGCCTCTGCTTGAAACTGCCAGCACGTGGCAATAATAATAAAGGAGACTGGCTTTTATTTGGTTTCGTTATTGTTCTTAAGTTCCCCACAGACAATGCAGCCCTGTCATTCCCGCACCTGGGCCAGACCGATCCCAAGGCGCCCCCCACCAGGCCTCCATGGGTCACTGCTTCTGAAGCAGGAGGGTAGGCTGGACCGATTGTGCAGGTATTAAAACCAAGGTCCAGAGATTTGAATGAACTCACCTGCAGTTGCTCAGTCAACTGGGGTCTGAGCTGAGACTGAACACAGATGTGGCAACTCTCAGTCCAGAATTAAAAAGAAAATAAGATCTACCCACACCTCTGGCATATCTCAGAATACATTATGTCCAGATCTGCTCCAAAGCTGCACGCCGGGAGGCCTGACCGCAGCCGTTTATACCCGGAGCCAACAGGAGTGAGCTGAATGCTGATGACACGTGGAGCCACTTCTGCCCCAAGGTCGGGACGCACAGGGCAGCCATGGCTAGAGTGCTCAGCTCTGCCCTTTGTGTGTCTGTCTGTGTGTCCGGCAGAGGAAGTACGACCTGCACTACCACGTCGCCCTCATCATCAACTACCTGGGCCACTGCGTTTCGGTGGTCGCCCTTGTGGCCGCCTTCCTGCTTTTCCTGGCCCTTCGGTGAGTCTCCCCCACATCTGATTGCTCCCTGTCCCTCTTCCCCCCACACCCCTTCCAGTCCCAGCTGAACCCTGGCCTGGACCTCCCACAGGAGCATTCGCTGTCTGCGGAATGTGATTCACTGGAACCTCATCACCACGTTTATCCTGAGAAATGTCATGTGGTTCCTGCTACAGCTCATCGACCACGAAGTCCACGAAAGCAATGAGGTTACTGGGCAGAGTCTTGGGGCTGGGCCTGGGGGGCTCCGGGCTCTGGGGGCACCCACCTCTCTCACCCAGTCCTCAGCTCACCACCACTCCAATCATTGTACCCCCAGAGCGGGAGGGAGGAGGGGAGCTGCCAGGTCGGGGTCTTGGGAGCAGCACAAACCCGACACCAGACTTTGAGATCTCCTGTCCCATTCCCCATCTTGCGACTTCAGGACCTTCTAAGGTCTCCTTAGAGAAGAGGAGGCTGGAATTAACCTGTGTTGAGCTTTGTCTCGCTAAATCCCAACGAGAGACCCGTAGAGATTATATGCCCATTACGCAGACATGGGAACTGAGGCTCAGAGGAGTTAGGTGGCCCTGCAGTGATGCCTCCACATCCGAGCCAGCAGGATCTTGAGGGGGCCATCCCACGTGTTGGGATTTGTGTCAACTACCCTGGATTGGTGTCAGCTGCTACTGCACTATGCCCACGTCTTTAAGACACCAGAGGCTAGAGCGGGGCCAACCGCAGAGTTCATTGTCACGGCATTAGACTTCTCAGTACATTTTGTTTGGATGTCTGGACCTGAGCAGGCGCCCACCCAGCCTGGTTCGACCCTTAACTTGGCTCCACACTGAGTGCTGCCTCAGCCCCAACCAAGTTCAAACCAGTTTGGGGCACCCTGCAGCCCCGTAATGATTTGTACTGATAAGATGTCACTTACTTAACTTGAAGGAAAGGCAGGGTTGGAGAGAGGGATCTTTAGCTTCCCATTTCAGCATGACTTTCTCGGGACAGAATAGACACACAGCCACATGTGGCCAAAGTCAGGGCCAGCACCACGGGAGATAGCCATGGAGGCAGCGGTCAACTCAGGAGACTTATCTGTGAGCCAGGGGACAAGCTGCCCACGAGGGCAGAGAGCCCCCCACTGCTGGGCTTCTCTGACTCCACGTCCCCATGTCCCCACCTCAGCGCTGAGTGTGTCCTGCGGATGCACCCGTGGGGAAAGAGGCCAGGCAGGGTCCGTAGAGAAAAGGTCTGAGGACCCAGGACCTGGCCGTGGCTCGCTGCTGCTCTGGACAGGTCTTCCTCGGCCCGGACCCCCATCTCTCCTCTGCGAGGTGACTGGGGAGGGGGTATCCTGCTCAGAGGGACAGGGACAAATCCCTCTCTCCCGGGGAGGCTGACAGCAGCAACATTCACTCTGCTGACCCTGGATGCTGGAGGCCGCCTCACGGGCTGCCGCTTACCTTCACAAACGCTGCTCTGTTGCGTATGCAACGGTTTTCTTTCCATTGAATCACTTTGCTTTTTCAAACTACATGGAATTTCATGTTCCATCCTTAATTGGAAACCAGTCTGACTGTTATGGATTAAAGGTGACCCTCAAAAAAGTATGACCGTGAAAGCACAGCAGCGTTATCCATTCTAGCCTCTGCCGGCAGAACACTTGGAGCCAGACTCCTTCCTTCTTGATTAAAAATGGAAAATGAGAAAGCGTTGGGGGGAAGTCACAGACACACTGGTACCGGTGGAGACCGGTGCCTTAACTCAGTCTGAAACAGAGAGAAATGACAGAGGACGAACCTTCCCAGAATGAGATTTGAGGGTATTTAATGCCATGTGTCTGAACCACTGAAATCGGCAGCCCTCCACCGGCGCCCAGGCCCACACGGGGGCCCTGGCCCGGGCAGCCCCTGACCACCGCCCGCCCGTGCAGGTCTGGTGCCGCTGCATCACCGCCGTCTTCAACTACTTCGTGGTGACTAACTTCTTCTGGATGTTCGTAGAGGGCTGCTACCTGCACACGGCCATCGTCATGACCTACTCCACCGAGCGCCTGCGGAAGTGGCTCTTCCTCTTCATCGGATGGTGTGAGAGTCCCGGGGGCACCGTCTGAGCCAAGCTGGGGAGGAGGGACCGCTGACAAGGTCACCTCCTTGTGGAAGGACGGGACCACAGCCCCACCCGCCATCCCCAGAACAGTCAGAGGATGCAGTCGCTCCCCTCCATGCTGGCGAGGAAGAAGCAAACAGTCCCACCAAAAGAACCTTCCACAAATAGCCTTCCTCACGGAATGGCAGACCCAAGGACCTTTGTCCCTGGCTCTGAAAGATCACTCTGTCCCTTCCTCTCTCTGACCTGCTTGGAGCAGATGGCCGGGAGTGGGGGAGGGGGAGGGCAGGGGTCCAGGGACAGGGCCCTTGGGGTCATGGGCGGTCTGCAGTGGGGTGGTTGGAAACATGATCCCAGGGCTCTTGTGGTCCCCTCACCCTGTGTTCTATGAGAGGCCCCCCTGTCCATCTGTCTGTCCACTGCAGCCCGTGCCTGTCCTTCTTTCAGGCATCCCCTGCCCGATCATCATCGCCTGGGCCATTGGCAAACTCTACTATGAGAATGAACAGTGAGTAGGATGCGCCATCTACGGCTCTGGGCCAGGAACATCAGCCTGCTGGGACAGATTGGCTTTCCGTAGTCCTTAAATTTTAAAAAATATTCCCACGCTCAGAAGTACTCATGTGGCAGGTGGCAGGTCACCTTTGTTTGTTGAATTAGGATTTCTGGTTCCTCTGAATCCCAAATGCATGACCCCTTTGGCCTTTGGGAGCCTTCCTAATTCCCCCTCAGAGCTGGAGTACATGGAGGTAACCGGGGCTTCTGGCTTTTAACCCAAAGCATATCCAAGGCTGTGTCAGTGAGCCCTTCACAGGCCCCTGGGCCAGGGCTGTGGGTGAGGCTGGAGAGAGCAGATGGGACTTGGGGGTGAGGGCAGGAACATTAGGAAGTGCTCATAATGATAAAAGCTGCCCAAGAATAAGAGAAGGAGCTTTTCTCATTATTCAGAATGATAGTGAGCTTCCCGTCAAAGGAGGTGTTCAAGCAGAGACCAGAACCCCTGGTGTTGGGAGGCCGCAGGGGACATTCCTGTCTCTGGCAGTGTGCACTGGATGACCGCTGGACACAGAGTTTCCTGAAGTCCATGGTCCCTCCCCGAGGTCCAGTGGGAGTTGCTGGCAGAGCCAGACTGGGTCCTGGCCCCACACTTCCCCCCGAACCTCGACCCCGAAGCTTCTCCACCCACCGTGCTCCTCAGCTTGGAGAAAGGCGGGGCTCGGGGCAGGAGAAGCCGCTTCATGTGGCTGAGTGCCTGGCACATGGAGCAGTGGGTGCCGAGCAGTGCAGAAGCAGGTGGCACGGGGTGGCTGGATGCAGGGCCAGCCCAGGGCAGCCCAGCTCTCCGTTCATTCACGAGCCTCCTGCACACCCAGCCCTGGGCCCAGCAGTCCGAGTGGGGTGGGGGAGTGAAGAGAAGGAGGAGGAGACCATGCTGCCTCGGACTGGCTGGGAGACCAGACCCTCCACGCAGGGCCAAAGGCAGCCCAGGGGTGAGCAGGGTGGTCAGTGGGGCTGGGACCGACCATCTACCCAGGCTTCTGGGTAAGCTGCAGCCCTGGAGATCAGGTCTCAGGATGGGTCAAGCTGGAGGACCCTGGACCCAAGTCTGCAGCGGTCTCCCAGCTCCGGCCCAGCAGGCCACTCACAGCCACCCATCTTTGCAGGTGCTGGTTTGGGAAGGAGCCTGGAGACCTCGTGGACTACGTCTACCAAGGCCCCATCATCCTCGTGCTGCTGGTAGGTGGGGCTGCGATGGGCTGGGCACCGGGCCAACGGCGAGGACCCACCCATCAGAGATTCGGGGGAAGGACGTGGTCTGGAGTAGCCCCCTGCACACGCTCTGCACACACGCACCTGCTTCCTTGCTCGTCCCTTCCTGGCTCTCACGCCTTCCTGATTTCTAGTGCGTTCCCGCATCTGATGTCCCCTTGCCAGGTACGATGCTGAGACAGCCAGGCGAGGGGGCAGCTGGTGGCAAGAGAAGGGTGTGCAGGCTTCTGTTCAGCCCAGACCTACATCGCCCTCCTCCCCCGGTGGCCTCCTCCCGGGCCCAGCTCACCAGCCGCAGCCCACCACCCCCAGCCCGGAGCAGTGGGACCAGAATGAAGCGTAATGAGCAATTGTTCCCAGTCCAGCTCCCCGCCCTTTGCCAAATGTATTCACATCTAAGGTATAATTGCCACCCATCTTTAATCCACAACGAGCTTTAATTAAGGTAGAGTTTAAGTAAAGGCTGCATTCTGCAAAAATGAGCCCATTATACATCATACATTAAAAAAAAAAAAGAGAGAGAAGCATTCAAAAAAGCCCCAGAAGAAACTGCCATTTACGTAAGACTTATTTCAGGCTTGGTAATTTCAAGTTCCTGTATGTACCAGCTTCCTTAAAGGGCTACCCGTGCCTGTGGGAACCCAGAGAGAGCCAGCCTCCTCTTGTACACAGCAGGTGCCTAATGGAGGTTCCTTTGGTTTCCCTTGCAGACAGTTACTATTTATCTCTTTTAGTTTCTTACTCTCCTTTTTGTGAATTCTTCTGGGATTCATTTGACCCCTATCTTTGAAGTGTCCTTGATATATGTGAACCAGAGATGACTAAGACTTATTACCCACTGCCTGAAATTCCACCATCAGGGCTCTGTTTTCTTCAGAGGCAGAAGCCAGTCCCTGTCAGCAGTCAGTGGCCGGGAGGGATTGTCCTTGGAGGCCCAGCTGCAATGACTCAGTCACCCCCAGTGGGAATGGAAACCCCACGAGACCCAGCCCCTCCTGGCCAGCTGTTGAGGAGGACATGCTGGAGGACAGGGCTTTGAATGAGCTTAGGGCCCGACCAGGGAAGGCTGGCCTGGATGGGGAACCAGCAATAGTGGGGAGCAAGCCCCCATTGCAAGGGGATGGGACAGTGGGAGGGAAAGGAGTGGACAAAGGCGTAGGGGGCTCCCTGTCCAGACCCGACCCCCAGCCTCCTCTCTGTGTGCCCTTCCTGGTGCCCCCCTCACCTTTGCTTGTCTCTCCCTTTGGGCCCAGCCCACACCCAGCTTTTTGCACTGACAGGTCTTGCAGGTTCCACACTGAGCCCTTCCGGAAGCTCTGTCCTCATTGCTTCCAATCCTCACGTCCCCAGTGCCTGGCAGAAGTAGGGAGCATGCTTCCCATTTCACAGATGAAGAAACTGAGGGACGAAACATCCTGCCCAACATCACCGCTAATAGCTAGCTCGGCCAAGACTCAGCGACAGGCCACCCACCACCCGCCTGCTGTCCCCTCAGTTTGATATGTGCCTGGCGCCTTGCCGCACCCCGCCCCCTGCCCCCATTGTCCTCCCCTGGGGTTCCCAGCTGCATTTCTGCTGCTGAGAGACAGCACTTATTTCTGGGTTCTGGGAAGCGGTTGAGTTTGCAGGAGGTTCTTCTCATGGTGGTTGTGCTGGGAAAGGCACGCGGCATTAACTGGGCCACTCTCCGGGCCGGGCACGGGCTCGGTGCCCTGCGTGAGTGTTGCAGCCTGTTGCAGGCTCTGTGGTTACCCTGGTTGGGCAGGCGAGGAAACAGCAGCTCAGGGAGGCTAATTAAGCCACCTGCCCGAGGCCACACAAATGCCATTCAATGAGGACTTGGGGCCAGGCGTTCATTTGGGAGGTGATCTCGGGAAGCGCAGTGCGGGCCGGGGGCGGAAGACAAAGAAAAGACGAAACCAGCAAAGAACGTGGCGGTGAGCACTGCATGGGAACAACCGCCCACGAGGGGCTCAGCTCTGCCCCTCCCGCCCCCCAGGGTCTGGAAGTCAGGCTCGTTATCCACACACTCCGCGCCCTGCGGCATCAGCGGAGATGGCCCTGGGGACAGTACATCCCCACATTTCCAGGCCCTCCTGTTTTCAGGCTGAGCTAGCTCCCCTGGCACCAGAAAAGCCCCAGGCTGGGAACTGTCCGTTGCAGCTGCCCGTGGATACAGGGGCCTGGGGCCCCAGGCTGGCGGCCTGCAGTGCGCAGCACATCTGGTCCGTCTGGCTAGACGCTTGGCTCCTCTTTCCACAGATGGTGTCTCCTTGCTCAGTGCTCCTCCCAGTAACAGCCCAGCTGCTCTTGTTCCAAATGCTGGTTCCGGGGCCCCCACCCGCCACTGGGCATTTCTGGAGTGGGCCCGGGATCTGCATTTGGTGCCTTTGATATACACGCTCTAGTTGGAGGACCACGGTGTCCAGAGGGCCCTGCGGGCAGGGATGTGGGCTTTCTCGGTGGCCTCGCCGGGGCCCTGCACACACTAGGACTTCGGCCTTTGAGACTTCACCTGCCTAGAAAATGCCACCAGGAGTGAAAAACCAGAGCGTCCAGTGAGAACCAGTCCCCCAGCATAGATGCTCCAGGAAAAGACAGGGCAGGGCCATGCAAGGCTGGACTCCTCAGGAAGCCTGTCCAGGGGCCCCGGCCCCACGCGGCACGCCCTCTCCCCCTTCCCCCCAGCGTTCCCCTCTTGCACGCTGCCCTAAGGACTCCCCAGTCTGGGAGGGCCCTGCGGGGCTGTGGCAGCAGGAGGGAGCCTCGCTCTTTGGGCTCCCAGCTGGCTCTACCTCCCTCCTGACTCCTTCCGCCTCCCCTCAAGCACACTGACCACACAGGCCCATCTCCTCCACCCCAGGGCTTTCTGCCCTTGCCTTCTCTCTGCCTGGAATACCCTTCCCCACTTTCCTGCAGTTCCCAGATACATGCCGTTTCTCCAGAGCTTTCTGGCCCCTTGGGAAAGATGCAATGTGCTCCCCACTCCAAGCCACAAGCCAAGTCCGCATCTTGTTGCTGGTGTCCAGCTCAGAGCCCAGCACGTGGCAGTGAGTGAATGAATGAATGAGTGAATGAGTCAAGCCAGAAACAGGGCCGGACGAAATTAGGGTGCAGTAGCCAGTGCTGACTGAAGAGCTGGGGTTTAGCTGGGGGAAAGGTGGAGTTTGAGGATGGAGAGCTGGGCTGGGTGGTCACAGCCTCCCTGGAGGAGGGAAGGAGGTACCTGTGGGGCGGGGGGTGGGGTGAGGTGAGACAGCGTCACTGACTTGGCCTGCTTTGTGGGAGAAGAGGGGATAAGCCTGTCCTTGCCTCAGTACATGGAACAGCGCCCCGTAGCCCGGAGGCGCTCATCAACTGCTTATTGACTGGATGAATGGGTGGGTGGACATATGTATATTACCCATTAAATAAGTGGGTGAGTAGGTAGATTGATGAATACTTGGATGGATGGATGGATGGATGGATGGATGGATGGATGGATGGATGGACGGACGGACGGACAGACAGGTGGGTGGATGGATGTGTGGACAGGTGGATGGGTAGGCGAGTAGATGGATAAGAGTGTGTGGATAATTGAATGAACTGATCAGTAGGTTGATAGATAATGGGTAAGATTTAATGCAGGGAAATGTGACAGAAATGAGAATATATCTCGATTCCAACAGCTTCTACTTCCAGAGAAGTCGGAAAGAATCAGAAAAGGTCAGATATTTTGTCTCACTTGTATGAGAAAATCAGGACCGACCTATGTGTTAAGGTGACCTCGTGGTGGAAGGGAATATACCAGAAACCCAGAAGCTAGAAATTAGCTGAACCTTAAGAGGAAGCAGGGCGCAGCAGGCCATGGGCAGCCCTGGCCGAAGGCTTCCCAGACCCTGGGTGCCCCGGGCCGTGAGCTGCAGGCTGTGGCTGACGAGTCAGAGCCCCAGGCCCTCAGCGCATCCTCAAGCTCAGGGGTCACGCAGGCCCACAGGGCCATCTGTCCTGAGATGTCTGCCTGTGTCTCCTGCTCCCAGCCTGGGATCTGGAACTCAGGAGAGTTTAAGGAGTGATGGAGTCTCAGGAAGGGTGTGTGTGTGTGTGTGTGTGTGTGTGTGTGTGTGTGCACGTGCACACATGTACTCACACTTGTGCTCACACGTGAGCCAGCAGACACCTCTGGGCTAATATGTAACTCCTTCTGACTCATGGGCACTTTCTCAGACAAACGAGAGGGACGTGAGCATGCCCAGGTCCCCAGATACACACTCACACATGAACACACTCCCTGTGGCAAAGACACTCACACAGGCACAGCGAATGGACCCACAGGCCCCCCCAGGAGCGGCTGAGGGCAGCACAGCCACACAGACAAGCCGGCACGGGTCAGCAGGAGGCCTGCAGCCCAGAGACCGCACAGCGCCCAAGCGGGCAGGTCTCAGAGAGGCTGGGTGCGGTGGGCTCTGATGCTGAGAGAGACTCAGAATAAAGATAAATGAGGCCCTTCCAGGAGCCTCGGAGTCAGCCCAGCAGCCCATTCATCTTCATTGCCTTGGGGGTGTCTGCAAAGGTTCTGGAGTTTTGCTGGCACGGGGGACAGATGATGAGAGATTAATCACTTCAGAGACCAGCTTATTAATCACTCCCTCCGGCTGGATCTGCTGCACCAGGGCCTCGGGGAGACCCTAACTGAGAAATGGGGACGCTGCAGCAGAGAGGGGACGCGGCCGGGCGGAGCCCCGAGCCCAGTTCCTGCCGTGTCCCTGAGCAGCGCGGGGCTGGGGACCATCTCAGGACTCCTGCCTCTGGGCCCTTGTTAACTACCTCTGAGGCTGCTTTCTTCCTTCGGGTCTGGGTGGAGAAGCAGGCCCTAGAGCTCTCAGGTGGCCGGGAACTGAGCAAATGGGGGCGCCTGTCATGGTGAGAGAGGGATCGAAGGCAGGTGCCGAGGGAACGGAGGGGACGGGCGTGTGCATGGGACATAGGCTTTCAGCGGGTCCCAGGGGATTTGGCTGCCTCCTACCTCGTCCCACCTCAAGAGCTTTCCTTCCTCCCTGTCCGCCTCCCTCTCTCCAGATCAATTTTGTATTTCTGTTCAACATCGTCAGGATCCTGATGACAAAATTACGAGCATCCACCACATCAGAGACGATTCAGTACAGGTAAGTGATGGGCACCTTCACCCCGCCCCTTGCACCCCCCCCACACACAGGGAGACGGGAGGCCATCCGGGTCATCTCCCTGTTTCTGGGCAGGGCCCTCTTCCTCCTCCCCAGGGAGCTCACTTAGGCCCCCAGAAGAGACGCCCCTGAGTGAGGCCCCGGCTGCAGCATCGCCCTCTCTCCCCCAGGAAGGCGGTGAAGGCCACCCTCGTCCTCCTGCCCCTCCTGGGCATCACCTACATGCTCTTCTTCGTCAACCCCGGGGAGGACGACCTGTCACAGATCGTGTTCATCTACTTCAACTCCTTCCTGCAGTCATTCCAGGTGAGGCGCATGACCTGATCAGGGCCGCGGTGAGCTTCCCGACCTGCATGCTCAGGTGCCTGTGCCCTCACAAAGACAGTCACGCGGGACAGGTGCACACGTGATTCACTTGCGTACACACGCAAATATAAGTGCGAGCACACACCCTGTCACCCCTGCCCCAGAGCCCAGGTGGGCCCACCCCAGACTGGGTCTGGGGCACCCTCGCTGGCATCTGCTGCTAGCCTAGCCCCTGTTCTGAGGATTCATGGCAGCCTGTCACGCAGAGTGGACCCCAGCACACCTGCACCGTGAGGGATGGGGCCCACCCAGCTCTGAGGGTCAGAGTGTGCCCCCCCGACATCCTGTCCCTACTCCACCCCTCCAGGCAGAGCGGCTCCCCCACAGACCACTGACGGGTCCCTCCTTCCTTTACAGGGCTTCTTCGTGTCTGTCTTCTACTGCTTCTTAAATGGAGAGGTATGAGCCTGGCCCGGGGCAGCCTGGGGTCCTCACTCTCCAATCTCCACTCTGCCCCACCTTGTGGGAGCACCCTGGGGTCCCTGCTCTGCTCAGCTCTGCCCTGGAGAAGGAGTGGGGGGAGGCCAGAGAAACCACTCAGCCTTGGGGGGGCAGGAATCCCTGCTGAGGGACCCCAGCCAGTTTAGGTCAACTATGCAGGCTGGGAACGATGCGCCCCAACCCCAGCGAGGCAGCCGGGGAGCCCGGGTTTCAGGGTCTCACAGGAGAGAGGAGCCAGAATGGACGTCATGACAGGAGGGAGCTTCCGGGAGCGCATCAGGCGTGAGGCGTGCATCCAAGCCTTTGCGCACCCAGGGAACAGAGAAGCCACCGGCACGTTCCCTGCTCCGCAGAGCAGACCGCGCACCTCCGGGCCGGCTCCGGGCCGGCTCCGGGGCGTCAGGCAATGGGGAAGCCAGGTTAGCTCACACAGTCCAGAGTCCCAGTGGCCGACTTGGGAGAGATGCTCAGACGGGCCCGCAGTGGGTTCTGGGGCAAAGAGCAGACACAGTGCCCGGGGCCCGAGAGCTTCCAGACTCACGAAGACTGTCCGTGTGGTCCTCAGGCCACACGGGGTGATGCTGGGGGGCCCTGCGGGCCTGGGCGCCTGTCACCTAAAGCAGCAGTCCCCAGGTGGGAAAGTCCAGCGGTGGAGCCTGGGGCCCCAGGCTGGAGGGCAGGAAGAGAAGGAGCCATTAGAGCAAACAAGCAATAAATGCTCGTGCAGCGACTGTTCTCGTCAACCTCCTGCTGGCCTAGCATGTTGGGGACACGATCCATTTTGCGGAAAAATTCTTCAGTTGCAGTACAAATGGGAATAAGATGGCACCGCGACCCTCAGGCTTGGACATGAACAGAACTGTTAGTTTTCTATCTTGGCAGCGTGTGCTAAGGTGAGGCTGGTCCATCAGGAGGCGGAGCGGTCAGGGCTGCGGGGCAGGTGAGGGGGCCTTTCAGGAGGGAGAAGGATGGCCGCCAAGCGTGGTGTGTGAGTGGAGCACACGTTAGCAGGTGCTGGGCGAGTGGAAGGTGTGGCCATCTGGTCCTGTCATCAAGGTGGCAGAACAAGTCAGGAAGGGTGCAGCAGGTGCTCAGGGAGGGGCTGGGGAGGGAGGGCTCCGGAGAGCCTCAGAGGGCAGCGGGGAGCTCCAAGGGCCAACAGCGTCAGGGGAAGGACCCCGCTTTTGGAGTGTAAGGTGGCAGTCAGGAGGGCCACCCCAGCCTCCTTCAATGGCCCTGCGAGGGACAAGGAGCAGGGAAGAGCACTGTGTGGGACCCCAAGATCAGCCCCTTAGGGCTCAGCTGGGTCTCTGCCTCCCCTCCCCCCCAGGTGCGCTCAGCCATGAAGAAGAGGTGGCACCGTTGGCAGGACCATCACTCCCTCCGAGTCCCTGTGGCCCGAGCCATGTCCATCCCCACGTCGCCCACACGGATCAGCTTCCACAGCATCAAGCAGACGGCCGCTGTGTGACCCCCCGGTCACCTCGCCTCGCCCATCACTCCACCTTTGGGACAGCTTCCCCAGCCTCCTGCCCGGCTCTCCTTGCCGTGCAGGCCCTGGTGGGGACAGAAGAGAGGGCAGAGACCAGCTCTCCAGCCTGGCAGGAGAGAGGCTGTACAGCAGTGCGCGGGGCTGCGAGGAACCGGGGCCAGCTGGGCCCACGTCCCGGAGCGAGAGGGAGCGGCACGGAGAAGTCACAGGAACCCCCGAGGAGAGCAGGGCACACGTCTTCAGGCATTCGTCCACGGCAGCCTGTCACGTGAGATCTTCGCTGTGGCCCCCTCCACAGATGGGGACACTGAAGCCCAGGGCCAGGAAGGACCTGCCCGAGCCCCGCAGCTAGCTCGTGGCAGACCCAGGCTCCTCTGCCGCACTCCCGACGCAGGCCTGCATGCCCGCAGCAGGCGGGCGGTCGGCCCTGCTCCCTGCCCGCTGCCCCCACGCTCAGCCGCGTCCTCTGCAGCCACTGAGCTCCTTTCTGGGAGACCTCCCAGCCTAGTGAGTAGATGCGGGGGCTTGGGGAAGGGCAGGTGGGGCGGAGGACATGGTCTGGGCAGCGATACCCTCTCAGGCCAACCAGACACGTAGTCCAGGACGAAACAGGAGAAGAAGCACGGCGGACGAGCCAGGAGAAACAGCAGATCTCTAAGCCCGTCTTTAGTGACTGGAGCTAATGCCCCAGCCTCCGCCTGAGCCTGGGCTTCGGCCTCCCCTTTAGAGACGATATCTCTGCCCTCTGACAGAAACCGTGCCTCTGCGGAACCCCTTCGGGTCAGGTCAGCCAGGCATCCGGAGACGCGCCGTGGGCCAAGATGGGGGCTCCCTCTCTGCTGTACTCCGGCGGAGGATGGGGGTGCGGGGACAGAAGGAGCCATCAGGCCAGGGCCCAAAAGGGCTCTTGCTCTAGGCATGTGCATCCCCTGCCCCCCACCAAGTTTTTAAAATTATGTATCCCATCTTGCACATTTTTAAGTTGACATCTAATCTTTTTACATAAGTTTTAAAACTTGTGAGAGATGTGATTCCTGGCATTTGGTAAATATTTATGTTTTAAAATAAAACTGCCATAACACTTTAAAAAACATCGTACAGACTCCAAATACAGTAGTGATTTAATACCTAACCACGTCTATTTAAAAAACAATACACTCTGTTTTAGCAGAAATTTTACATTGTTCCTTTTCTCTTTGAAGATGTATCTCCATTCCATTCCCCCTACAGAATTTTATACTAATGGCAGTGTATTTTATGGTCGAAATTGCTCACTTTATCATACTTCTCTGACACAATGTATTTAGAAAATGAAATATTTAATTTCCTGTGACCAAGGATTCTAAGGTTTTTTTAAGTCTTCTGGATAATTATTGCAACTATTTTCAATATAGAACATAGTACACAATTGATTAAAACAACATAGATACTAAAGGTTTTTATAAGTAATTTTTAAGCCTAAAAAGCAAGTTTTATTGAAAACACAACTTAATGAAATCGATAAGAACTTAACTGTTCGTGAATCTATGAATGAATATTTATTGCTAGAATGAATCGGGGCTCAGCATCATTTTCCTTTCTCCGTTTTTTGTAGCTCTAAATGCCAAAAAGCCTTTTCACATAAGTAAGTAGATGTCACTCGATTCTCTGAGATGTGTGCCAAAATTTACATAGTCATCTATCATCACAAACGGTCTGTCACTGGTCATGTGAAGAAGTCCTCTTTAAATCTGGCTAAAAACACGAATCGAGAATTATCAGACTTGCCGAGGGCTTTGCTGCCCAGGCGTGTGCTCATTGTTTCTCACGGTGGGCACCTGGGTGCCAGGCAGTGCTTGATCCAGGTGGAGAGGGGCACTGAGCGCACTGTCCAGAAGGAGCCGGGCGGGGTGGGTGGCGCCCTGACTTTGTGTTTCCCTGAACTCAGAGCTTTCTGTGGAGACGCACACAGCAACACGTGTGGGTCTGGGAAGGTTTTCCTGTGCCCACAAGAGCTGGCGGGGTGGCCGCCTCCATTGGCATCATCGGAGGCTCTTGGAGAGCAAGGAGCTGCAAAAGGCCCGGCCCCCAGAGCCACCTGGAGAGCTCTGCCAGGCAGAGACTGCGTGCTTGTCAGAGAAGAGACTGCGTGCTCGTCAGAGAAGCCGCGGCCTCCGCAGAGCCTCAGCACCAAAGCCAGGCCACCTGTCTTCACGAACCCAGCTCAGTGCCCTGCAACTCCAGTTCCTGGAGTGCCTGCCCTGGAGAGCATCAACGTCCCTAACCTTTGTCAGGAGGCAGTTTGCCCTGCTCCCTCTCCAGCTTGCAGGAGGCTCTTCCTTGGTTCCATGCAGCCCCTGCATCCCCTTGTTACTAGAGCCTCTGGTCACGGCCGATGCCGAGCGCTGGCCTTGAAATGCCACCAGAGCCATTAGGCCCTCTCTCTGGGTCCCCCACTTGTTAGCCTCATTAGGCACCCGTTCCTTGCAGCCAAGCCAGTCCTTGTTAGCGGCTGCTCCAGTGTAGGCCGCCCTTGGCTGAAGTGGCCTTCCTGCAAAGTGGCCTCATTAGCAGACTCTCCTCGTTAGCAGGCAGAGTTCTAGCACCAAGACCCCTCAGGCACTGAGGCTCTCCTGTTTAATACCTTCACCCCACCCCCATGATGTATAAAGCTGGGGAGACTTGAGCTCACACCAGCCGCTGGCCCCCTCCCACTGAGAGACCACAGAGCTCTGACCTCAGCTTGGATCCAAGCCCTGGGGCCATCATCAAAGTGGGACCATAAAGTGTCCTCTGGAATATGAGCCAGTTAAAGACAAATATGCCATGGCTCCGAGAACACACCTGGCGTCTCATCAGAACCAACGGGGCGGCACGGTGAGCGCAGACTTCGGGAAGCTTTATTTCCCAACTGGGCGGCATCTAGGAATCTGCACTGTTAACAAGCCCCCCAGGTGATTCTGTTGCTGTCTGGTGTGGGGACCACCAAACAAGGAAATAAGTCTCTCTCTCCTTCAACACTCTTACTGTAGAAAGTGAAAATGAGTGAGTTACCTGCCTTTCTGGAAACCTCTAAGGGAAGGCAGCACGTTTAAAACATGTAAGCTTATTCATCAATGTGCTTGCTATGGTTTCCAGCCAGGCTCTGCCCCGAGGTGCCCGAGCCTCTTGACAGGGCCGCCCCGCTTAGACGTTAACAGAGGTGGGCTGAGGTCGCTGCCTGTGTTGACTGCGTTTTGACATTTTTTTTTTAAGCATTTCATTTCATCCTCCAGATCTTCTTGTTAGAGAGTTCTTTGCTGAGGGCTTAAGGCCCTCCCACAGAGCTGTAGCATGCCTCCCCAGCCACAGAGCCACCCCATCAGCCTCCATGGGGCAAATCCTGTCTGTCCTACAGGGCCCATATCAAAGGGCCTGCTCCAGGAAGCCGCTCTGCCAGCATGTCCCGCTGGGAGAGCTGACAGCAGTCCCCACCAGGCTCTGTGGGCTGGGCTGGGAATTGCCGGGGACATGGGCTGCTACCATAGCAAGGGCTCTGCACCCAATAGAAGCTCTAGAAACAGGCATCGAATAAATCAGCCTTTCCTATTTGTTCCGTGCAGAGCTGGCTGCCATCCAGGCTATAGTCCAGTGCTAGCAAAACAGACCAAGGTGCAGAATCCCACAGACCTCGGCTTTGCAGAAAGAATATCCGCCCTGGGCTAGACACCCCGCCACCAATGGATCGCGGAGGCTGGGCCCCCACTGAGGGCCAACCCTCTGACCCACTGTACCCACATGGGCAGAGAACTGGAGCGGAGCCTCTGCACCCCTCCAATATGCCACTGCGGCTGTGCAGATTCATCTCGCCCCAGGGGCCTTGTGCCTCGATGGTTCCTGACTTCCTACTAGACAGAGGATGAGCCTAACGTTCGCTGGGTCCTCGGGTACGGTGACCAGCTCTGGCCCAGCCCGTCTGGGTTTATGCCTGTCATCCTAGCGTGATTACCAGCACCCCTCATGCCCACAAGTGTCAAAGTGTCTTGGTTTGGATGATCAAATGCACGATCACCCTACTTAAACCCCTACATTTGTCTGAGGACACAGTAGAGACCACAGATGTTGCCTGAATAGGTGAATGATGACAGCCGGACCTGTAGAAAGTTCCAAACATTAGCGCGTTGGACAGAGAACCAGGGGAGAAGGCCCTTCCAAGGCCAAGTCCCAACCACAGCCTTGATAAGTGCCGGGCAAACGAGCGAGCGGGGACGGGCAGGGAAGAGCAGACTCTAGCTAAGGGAAGAATCGTCCCTCAGCCTCTGCTGTGAATAGAACAAAGTAATTAATTGTGCTTCTCATCAGCTCTGCAGGACAAACAGGAAGGCCCCCCCTCTGGTTCCGAGGCCTAACCCTGACAAACGATCCAGCCTCACAGATCCTCACGGAGGTCCCTCTGTCCAGGAAGGTGGAGAAATTCAGAAAAGTTATTTCTCTCTGCTTTCTGCAGTCCCGGTGTCTGCGTCCTCTGGGGAAGCCACCCGGCCACGGCCTCTGTTCCTCCTCACTCTTCCAGCTCAGCCTAAGCACCTTGTCCTTTGGGGGGCTCTCCTAAGTGCGAGCGAGGTGCGGAGTCTGTGCCTTTAGTTGCAAAGCTAATGACTCTCCCAGCCCTGTGTCTGCAAAGCCGGCTCATCTCTCGGCTTGAAACAGATTCTGGGCTGCCCGCCCCACCCGCCTCCCACACACTAACTTCAACGTTAACATCTTCACAGCCAATGGAGTTTTTTCCGTAGAAAAATGTAAATGTATAAAATATCAAAATACAGTGTATTAAATGGTGCATGTAATCACTACAGAAGTCCTCAAAGGAAACACGAACGCTTGTTTAAGAGCCCCTAACCTCAGGTTAAAATTAAAACGCTCGAATCGAGCTAGAATTCCCTAATTGGCGGTCCTCGAGCCCGCCTGCGTGTTAGAAGCACCAGGGTGTTTTGAGCCTCTTTGGTTCCTGAGCCCACTCC